AAGCGGACGGGGCCAGATATTCAGATGAAGGTTTCCAGACTCTCAGGCTTCAGTGAGGGCTGGAAATTTTAGAATCCACTCAGAGAAGCATCTACTTTCAGACCACCAATTTATAGAAAATTCCTGATCCACATGAAAAAAAGAAACATTCCCTTGTCTGGAAAGATTGAATAAAGAGAAGCTGAAAACTTTTTTTCTGTACCGTTACTTTCTTTGTTTTTTGACACTAAAAAACAAAGAAACAAAAAAAAACAAATCGCAATTTATAATTGTAGATGCGCCTTTGAATTTGACTGTTGTGAAAACCAATTCAATATCAACTCACAACCTTCCAGAATATTTTCTTTTTATACATTTAGAGGTAGAAATTTGACAAAAATGAACAAAAAAAAGACAATGATGGGGTAAAACCCCAAAATGTTAATGCGGAAGAACAGAAGAAGTCGGTTGTGGTGGTCGCCAGCTGCAGCGTCGAGCGTCATTTATCAAAATGCAGATTTCGACAAAGTAGAGAGCGGAGCAGAGGAATAGAGCAGCCTGGAAAGGGGATATATATGCAGCATTTGAATATTTTGGTGGTTTTCAGTGACTGGTTTTTTGATTTTTATCTGAATTTGGCTGAGTAAATGAGAAAGTGCGAAAGAAGTGTTTGAATAACCTTTTTCCGAAAAAGGAAGATTTCGGGAAATTGATTTTTTTTTTCAACATAAAAATCAATCAAAATTCAGAAGTTGATCGATCCGTGTGCGGATTTCCAGATTCCGAAAACTCAAAAGTTTGAAAATCGGAAATGCCGAAGTTCAAAAGATTCGAGAAACGGAACATTTTCGGAATTTATTCCCAATTTCCGAAAATTGAAAAATCGAAATATTCTGAGATTCTAAAAGTCCGGCATATACTCAACTGCTATGGTTGTGATCAACTGCTATATTTGGCTTTTCTGCTATGGGTTAGCTGCTATAGCCATAGTGGTGAAAATAGCAGTTGATCCATAGAAGAAGAGCCAAATATAGCAGATAAGACAATAGCTATAGCAGTTGAGTATCTACCCAAAAGTCCCGAAACAAGTCACTCTGCACAACATTTTTCTTTAAAACCAATTGTTGTTCCACTCACCGTTGCCAGCGCTGGCATTGTTGCCCAGTCGGGATTCATATCCGCCCAATGGGCGGCACAGAAGACCCACATTAAGATGGCGGAAACAAGGAGACCAACGGAGACAATGACGTAGAGAAGGGCTTCCTGCAAATTTTTAGGTTTATGAATTGAGGGGAGATACTCAATTGCTATTTATGTCTACTGCTATATCTCAACTGCTATATTTGGCTCTTCTGCTATGGATCAACTGCTATTTCGCCAACTATTGATGTCTCAACTGCTATGGTTATAGAAGTTGATCCATAGCAGAAGAGCCAAATATAGC